AAGGGGATTGGGACCCATACCTGTGCACTGGCTGCAGGAGTGGCTAAGAATACTGCTTCAGGAAAAGTCAGGCAATGTTTCTGTGATAGACCTTGCTGGGAGACAGGGGGAGAGAGAAGGGAAGGGCTTGGGGTATCCATGTGCTCTGTAGTGCAGGGTGGGCAAAATTTACCTGTTCCCTGAGAGAAAAGGCCCTGGCCAGGTAGCTGGGTTCATTAACATCTGGATTGCAAGTCCTTCCCTTAGATGAGTGCTGTGACTGCAGCCTCGTTCCTCTGATTCTTGGGTACTTATGGGAGCATTTAATTCCATGTCTAATTTTATAACCAGGGCAAAAGGTCAGCCCCCCCTCGCTCTGAGCCAGGATGTCTGAGACTGTGAATGTCCTGGTAGAGGAATGGAGCTTCTCCCACTGCTGGGGATGGAGCTCCAACCTGAATAGATTTGGAAGATAGTCGCCCCAAGAGCTGCTGTGTTTAGCTCTGTGTGGTGCTCGTTGCGGGAAGAGAGCACGAGCACCTCATGAGCTACAGAACAGGATTTTGGAGAGATACATTTATATGGCAGCTGAGAGCTTTTTACATTTGGTTTGTCACCTAGAGGAGAGAGTGACAAACCCTCGGTGGCACAACAGTACCCAGTGCTGGCAAGAAGCAGCCCTTATCAGGATCAGCCTTCCCCAGCTCTCTCCATGCAGCATGCTTAAATGCTTCTTTTAACCACTGTCACTGCAAGTAATGACTGCCTCAGCACAAGGGTGTTTGAATAGATAAGTATCTTGGAGAACTGCTAATGGGGCTGCTGTCTGTGCCCAAGTTTAAAGAGCAGAAGAAATGGCTAGGAGAGAAGGGACTGGCAGTGAGATAGAAGCAGAGTGAAGAACCCATAAGAGATGCTTGTCAGCCAGCAAGGCCAGCTCCTGCCCTCGGACCCAGAAAGCTCTGCTGTGTCACCATTCTCCATGGCACTGCAGAGCAGCCAGGGTTTTTTCTCAGGAGCTGTCAGCTCCCTGATAAGCTGTGTCATTGGGAACAGATGTGGGCCACGGGCGGGACCGATAGGACGGGGCCGGGTGGCCAGAGCGGCACCGTGCGTCAGGGTGCTCCGGGGGCGGCTCAGATCCCTGCAGAGCCCCCGAGCAGCAGAGCGAGCCGCTCACCGCTCCTCTGCGCACACGTGCGCACGTTCTGAGGGCAGGTGGTCCTCGCGCATCTGCTGAAGCTGTGGACATCAGGACTCAGCCATGCAAATGAGAACAAGGCACCTGGCACAAGAGTGCTGGAGGTGTCCGTATGGGAAGTCTGCAGTAATATCCTGTGTGCCCTGCAGAGCCCCCGAGCAGCAGAGCGAGCCGCTCACCGCTCCTCTGCGCACACGTGCGCACGTTCTGAGGGCAGGTGGTCCTCGCGCATCTGCTGAAGCTGTGGACATCAGGACTCAGCCATGCAAATGAGAACAAGGCACCTGGCACAAGAGTGCTGGAGGTGTCCGTATGGGAAGTCTGCAGTAATATCCTGTGTGAACAAGACCTTACTCAGCAACTTGTGCAACATAAATCCCAAAGTAATGAGTAAGAGTAAATAGGCCTTCCCTCCTAACCCTGGTTTGCAGAGGCGCAGAAGATGATCAGATGAGATGTTGACAGGGCTAGGAATAGAAATCAGGTCCTTTGCACTTGTCAAAACAAAGAAATTTTTGTGCTTTTGAGCATCTTTGGATGCAGCTTTCATGAACTTCAGGGAATGGAGCTACTCAGCCCTCAGTTCTTCCTTTCCATTAGTTCTCGTCATCTGTCCAGCCTAGACTTGAACCCTCCAAGAGGTGAAACTATTGCCTTTCTCTGGGATGGCTGAATTAGAGCCTGGAGCATTTAACACTTTGGGAGTTTTTCCCAAGGCTCAGATACATTTACATTTCCAGCTTTCTGATCCCTGCAATGTTTGAGCTTCTTAACTTTATTCATAAATCTCTGTACCCTGAGATACCTATGCTTTCCTGTATCCATCACTTAGCTGTAGGTTGTACTTCAAGAAAACCCCTATAGTCTCACTGACTGCCATCGATTTACCATGTTCCTTCCATGTTCTGCTAGCTGTCAGCTATACTGTGGGATCTGTATGTTTGCCTAATGATGATTTATTGCAGTAACTATTTTCTTTCTGGTTCAGTTGAGATGTTTGCGTTAACTTCCTTCTGCTTTCTGGCTTCTGTCTTGCTCCTGGCATGCCATAGTTGGAATAGTCGTGCCAACAAAACCAGAATCATTTGCCCAATGTCCCTGAGCAGTTTGTAGGCAGTTGGTGACACGTTACATGTTTATAGCATGATCCTAGAAACTGGTCCATCTCAGCTGCAGAACTGACAGGCAATAACAGCATGTTACCTGAAACTCCTCTCTGCCTTCATTTTCTTCATCCTCTTATGTTTTCCTCTTCTCTTTCCTGCACTGATGTTGAGGTCCCTAGAGATAAAAAATAATTTGACTAGCTGAGATTTAAGAGAGATGCTGATTGCAAGTACAGAAGGTATAAATACCGCTGCTATGTATTGAATGGCTAAAAGGGGCATGTAAAGGGCATGTGTTCATGACAGAATCATCTAGGGATCTTACTTTTTTCTAGGCAGATGCCACTGCCTGTCAGCGGAAGCTGTCTGTGCTTTCAACCCAGCCAGCTGATGAGGGCTACAAGCTAAGCCAGAGATATGGTCTTCCTCAGGGTGATGATATCCACTCTTTGAGGTTTTTTTTCTTGGTTTTGTTTTGTTTTTTTTTTTTAAGTTTGGGTATGTTTTGCAGCAGACAGCTTTTCCCAGCCAAGCCTGATGCGAGCACTCAGAATGAGCTCGGCAGCACATGTGTGCCCGCAGAGTAATGAACAGAAATTAAGAAGGGGATAATATATGGTGAGTGCCAGGAAAATATTCCTGACAGAGAGCATAACCAAGCTGTGGCATCAATTCCTTGAGGAAGTGGTGAAAGACCTGTCACTTGGCACATTTAAAATGGGATTGGACAGAACATAAGTACATTTACAAAAGGGAGCAATCCTGCTCTGGCCCTCAGGGATGCACAAGATAACCTAATAGGTCTTTTCCATTTCTAGATTCTCTGATTCTCTGTGTCTTGTCAATACTGAGAAGCTTCGTCCTGCTCCATTGCCTGTCATGCTGCTGTCTACTTCAAGATGTTTTTCCCAGACAGCATGTAGAAATTCAACATTCTCCCTGAATTAAGCAATAGTGCTCTGTAGGCTTTAGTTTGTGGATGTTCAGAGAGCACCACAGCTAGAGAAAGTTGGCATGTCCTTTTATTAGTTAGGTAGAAAGACTTCTGCAAACAAGCTTTCTTTAACTGAAACCTCATTTCCAGCACTAATGCAACAATGGGCAGGGCTCTGTACATCTTTTTATTATATGGCAGAACCCGGGGAAGTTCATTTTTCCCTATGACATATAGACTTGTGCTACAGTCTCAATTTATCCTTCTAAATAATGTAGGTGGCAGTGGTTGATTCACATTAGTTTTTCTTCTGTTCTGATGATATGAAAAACTGAGTTTGACCTCTGCAGCTTGAACCAGTAAGAAGGGAGAAGGTAATTTCACCAGCTATTCTCAGTGCCACTCTCAGTGGTTGTTTTGAACTGTGGCCGGCAGAAATGAGTTCAAATCCTTACAAGCAAAGGGGTTAATGCTTTCCTTAGGTTCAGTGTATAGTTTATAGCAGAGTTCCCTTCTTATAGGCAATCCTACCCAGCAGAGTCTGAGCACTTGGAGGCACTTTAAAAATTATTCCCACGTTGCCTGGGGAAAGCAGGCTGAGCACCAGCCACTTCAGTGTCTGGCCAACACCTGGCTGTTGGCTCCTGCAGTGCCAGCTTGCTGTCATATGAATCCTGCTGCTTTTTTTCTCTGCATCTTCATCTTTTAGTCTGCATATGGGACCCAGTTAGGGGAGTTTAGATGTGACCAGTTTTGCAGTCCTCTGTGCTAGGCAAGAAGCTAGATGAAAGACCAACCTCCCAGGCTGAGCAGTGCTGGACACCAGTGGAGTAGGCTGAGCAGATGAGAGGAAATCCCTTAGACCAGCACTCACTTCCACATCATGGGTACCCTACAGGTTCCTCATGCTACTGTGTGCTCTGACAGTTGCTGCAATTTAGATGTGCCTCACATGCATCTTGCACTTTGGGGATGGGATCAGATCATGTCCCGAGGAACCTGCAGTCTGGACTAAGCAACTGTTCCTGATCCAAAGCTGGGAGGAGCAGGCGCTGCTGGGACAAAGGCAGAGCGGCTTTCATTGAGCGACGTGCTGCAAAATGGGTGCATTGCATTGGTGTATATCCGTGATATCTCAGCCTGAGTTTCTAATATTTTTGTATCATGTGTAATGAAATGTGAAAGAACAAGGAGATCACTGACATGGAGAAAGCTGGCAAAAGTCAAAGTATTTTCTCCAAAAGGGTTGTCTGTTGGAAAGGGAGGGGTGGTGAGGTGGGAGAAATGGGACTCTGCCAGCTTCTGCAGGAAGGTCGTAATTTGTTGAGCATTTGCTAAGCTTTGTGTGCATCAGATAAGAAGCAAACAGCTACAGTGAGTGTGCTTTGTGCTTGGCTGTTTTGATTAAAGGCTTATTAAAGGTCCTTTTATTAGACAGGAGTCCCATACAAAGCTGTAATTAATACGTGTGTATGTGTATGTTTTTTTCCGTTATTGAAGCAATGAATCTAAGTGGTTGGGCCGGTTGGTAATACATCAGTGGCTGGTTCCCTCTACATTAAAAAAATAACAATAATCAATTTCACAAGGTTCTAACAGCACACTGAGTACCTTTTGCCTGCATGCTGGTACCCTGTGGGTCCAGGGAACATCATAATATTTTTTTACCCCAGAAGATACTTTAAAACTATGGGGCATGTCCTTCCTTTTCTGAGGCTGGCTGTTCAATTACCAGATTTGCCATAACCTGAATTGTCTGTGTCATCTTGTTTGTGTACAGGAGCCCTGCAAATAGAGAACAGCGAGGAGTCAGACCAAGGCAAATATGAGTGTGTTGCAACCAACAGCGCAGGAACTCGCTACTCTGCCCCAGCTAACCTTTACGTTCGAGGTAAGAGCTGCTTCCACCCAAGGAGGTCACTCTCCTCCTGCTCAAAAGGCTCCGTGGATTTCAGTGAAGGAGAATATCTCCTGTCTTAGTGCCCTGATCACACTTTATGGACTGTCTAATGTAGCCTTTTGGTCAAAAAAAAAGATAAGTTTGAGCATATCTTTAATCCACACTGGATTTTACTCACATTTCTGGAAATATGTTTTTACTCTTCATATGGGTGTTATGTAAAATACTGGAATATGCAGGACTGGAATTCCTTTCTCCCTTGAACTCCTTAATTTTGTGTCATAGTTATTTTAATTGAGAGTGAGGGGTGCTTAATCCTCTTAGTATAAATTAATCTTTGGTGGAGTAGTATAAAACTGATCACGCTCTGATGAGCCAGAGGTGCCTGGCTATAGGTGAGCTGATATTTAGGCCTCTGCTGTGGAATGTGTGTCTTTAAAAACTGAACGGCTTTTTGGAGTTGTCCTAATCCATCTCACATGCATCGATGATTTAGCCTCTGGGTATTAATGGCTCACGCTGGGAACCTGCTGGAAATTAGCTGCAATTCATGTAAAGTGATTTTTCTAATGGTTATGCTGTGTTGCCTATTTAAAACTGTTTTCAACATAGCAGGATAACTAGGTTTTACATGAGGGCAGTCCCCTGCCAGTTTTCTTTCTCTGCATTAAAAGTGTTTGAGTTAGCTTGAAGGGAAGCAAGGATTAAAATCCACATACACTTTCTGTTAATTTTGACAAGAAAGAAATGTGCTGCTTCATATGGGACTGTATAACCAGAGCCACTGGTCAGAAACCCCTGGGAAATGTGCTTGCAGATTTTACCAAGAAGAGAAGGAAGTTTCTTGTGTTGGGACAACATCTTGTTTGTTAGGAAGATAGAACCAGGTTTTATTTCTTCATAGTTTATCAACTGTCTAATAACAAAATCTCATCTTCATTTCTTCCTTCCTCTGCCTTGAAGAAAGAAAATACAGTCATAAAGCTGTATATGCGTTGGTTAGTATGGAAAGAGAACATGCGAATGATTAAGTCTTCACATGCTGTGTGTTTGCTTCTTGGGATGGCTTCTGGAATTGTTTTCTTTGCTTATTTTTGGGAACTGCTTTTTTATTTTGCAGTGTAATTTGGATTATGAGTCTTTGGAACATTGAGGTATCCAATTAAACTTATTCAGAAGATGAAGCTATATCTGTACAGTGGAATCACTCATTTCACTTTCACAGTGTAATTATGGATAATTTTAAATTCCCTGTATTCTTGCAAGTTCATTTTTCAAGCAAGCTGTACTGAAACTCATCCCAGATAGTCACTTTGCACTCCAAGGGAAAGGATCCTAGTTACCAGGTTGGCTGTTGTTGCGTAGGTTTGTGGGGATACTCAGATGTTTTGCTGAGGTATTGGGGATACTTTTACTTCTTGTGACATGATCAGACTCTCAATGTTCTATTTTCTATAGAGGTGTGGCTGAAAAAACGTTCAGGATCTTCAAGAGGTAGAAAAACTTCCTCTTAACAGTTTCACAATTTCTTATTGATAAACACTCTTTGTTTAAAAAGTGAATCCTGTAGGCCTGAGGAGTGTACGGAATTTTACTCTTGGCTTGCTGCTCAGCAGGATGTGTCTGTCCTGTTTGGGCTTGGAATGGGCTGCGGATGATCTGCACATGTGCGAGGATCCTGACATTCACCGAGGAAAGCACGTTCTTAGATATAGGCTTTGCTGTTAACTGTCATTTTCTCACACATAAATTTTTGGAACAAGCCTTTTTATTGCGCATCATTTTTACAATGTCCATATCCAACCTGTGTGATTGTGATAATAGCCCTGCTGTATATTTAAGACAGGATACACCTCAAATTATTATCAGGCAAAATTGAAACTGGTCTGTACTCAGACAGATATGGTCAGTGTGCTTACAGTTTCTGATAGAAAATTTTCTAAAAAAAAAATAAAAAATTCTTACTGTATTAGTTAGACCTCAAGAAGTTAGTCAACTCAAGAACAATATCTATTTCTTTAACAAGCAAGGAGAAAAAATGAAAATATCTTATTTTCTCAGGTCTGGAATACAGAATAAAAGGATCTCTGTTTTTAGTTCTTGTGATAGTCCTACCTTGTGTTGTCATGAGATAGATCAATGACTTCCAGTAGGGTCTTCAGAAAGTCCTTGCATCTTCACTAGAGACACTAATAAATGCTAAATTACAGTGGAAATTAAGTGTGTCAGCCGCACGACCACTGTATGGTGGTTTCATAATGATTGACCTCGTTACAGTGAATACCCAAGAAGCTGGCCACTTTCTCAGAAAGCATGGCTGAGTGCTGAGCAGCAGGACTAATTTCCACCCTGTGTGGTTCTCAGGACTGCTTGTGCCCACTCTCATTTACAGCCTGTTGGGTTTTCAATAGTTCAAATGTTTGTTTGGCTCTTGGGGTTTATGTTTCTGATCATGTCCTCCTCTTTCCTAGCCTCCCAGGTAATCCTTTGTGAGTGTGCTATGTTAGAAAGCACAGACTCATTAGCATCTTTATCATACTTTTCATGCTAACAAAGGAAGATACTGGATGCTGAGAAGGAGTATCCAGGCACTGCTCAGGGCTTCCTGTATCAATGAAAGAACAGGAGGAGGAAGGAGCAGGCTACACCAGTGTCTTGTCTCTGTGAATCCTTTAGAGCCAGCACTTCTGCACAGATGGACTTCATTAAAAGTTAAAACATTTCCACACCAGGGATTTGTAAAGGAAAATGGATGCACTTTCCTTGGAGCTATTATTTTCATCTTACTAAGTGTGCTGGAAAGCAACCTTCATGAGCCTTCTGCTTCTAGACTGACAGGTCTATCTGTCTGCAGAACTGGGATGGGGCTGGGGACCAGCGCTGGGAGCTGACTGCCTCCCACTGCTGCTCTTCAGCCCTCTCAGCATGAAGGGCTGCAGAAAACATCCAGACCATCAGAGGAGCAAGAACGGAGTGAAAGCAAGAGCAGGGAGCATGCCAGGGCAAGGTGGCTGCCTGGGGTATAGCAGGGACTTTGAAGGGCACAGTGGCATGTTCCTATCCTGCCCTTTCAGCACAAGCACGCTTGCCAGAGCTGGTCTGGTTGTGATTGCTGCCACTGTGAAAGAAAACTCATCCATTTGTAGTCTGTGGTTACGTGTACCACAGTGCATTGTAGCAATGATTAGATCTGGGACTTGATAATGCAGCAGGGAGAAAGAAGGGGAATGGAAATGTATGGAAGATGTGATCCCTCTAATCCAGAGAGCTTATTGTCTAATTTAGCTGCAAAAATCCAAGAAGTTGGTTCAAGACATGCAAAATTTGTTTTGAGTAGAAGGCAAATTGGACCTAGTGTGGAATAAAAAAAAAGTGGTGTCATTTCATCATGCTCACCTGGAATGTAGTATGATTGCACTGATTCAACTATACTGTTGGGTTTTTAGGAACACATTTCACTCTTCGTTTGCCTACAGCTTCAGGGACATCTGCACAAAGAGGAGCATTTTCAGCTAAAAGTCTTGTCCTATGAAATGCCTCTGAAGGTGGTGGCCCATGTGGTGCTCCTCTCAATAGAGACACTGTTATTTGACTCCTCCCCTGTACAAAAGGTTTTTTCCTGCCCTTCTCTTTCTCTACACATGGCATTATTTTTTTCCTATTTCTATAAAGCAGATGAACAGGAAGACTCTTTATAAGATTATCCTTATTAATACACTGTGGAGTTCACCAGGTATGATCCCCAGTGCTGCTTACAGCAGTGAGCGGTACAAACGCAATTAGAATATTACTTATTGGAGCACTGGCTGGATACTCTTCATCAAATTAGAAGTCTGTTGCTCTGCTGCTATTCAGGCCTTCAAGGCACAGTCCAGTGGGGCAAGTGCTGTGAGTTCTCTGGCCCAAAATGCTACACATACTGCACAGATCTTTTAAAAAAAGACTGAGCAGCTGCACAGCTCTTTTATAAAAAGACCATGTAAAACTAAATTGTCTCCTCTGTCCCCAAATCACAAACTAGTAAATCAGGCTGCAGTAAATAGAAATGCTATAACTGCAAAAATCTGTGCTTTCTTGATCTGCTTTTTGAAAGGCTAGGCTAGCATTTTATTTGGCACTAGGGAAACTTGCTTGGAGTCTGAAGGTTTATTTGTCAAGATTCACTAAGGAGCCATCACCCGAAATGAGTTTAGGATTGTGGCTCTGTCCCTAGCAGCCATCCTCTGGCCTCCACAGGGTTTTACACTTGGGGACTTGGCAGTAGCTCAGGCTCAGACACGGACGGAGCTCACCAAAATGTCTACTTGAGGCTATATGATGCTGACTGCAATGGGGACCTTGTGTAAATAATAATAATTCTGAATGACTGACGTGGGCCTGGAGCAACAAGACTTGAAGCCTTTAAAAAGGACATTTTATGCTTATGAAATATTAAAACAGCTAAAATAGCAACGGCAGTCAAAGCTTGAGGCTATTGCTAGAAGAGTAAAAGCTGAGGACAATGGTCAAACAGTCAGTGACCAAAACTGGGGATGTCTGAAGAATGGCTAAATAGGGAATATGTTTGTTGACGACCCAGCTGTAAGCACAGTTCTGGCAACATGCTCCATTAAACCTGCCTTTCATCAGGGCTGGTGGGGGTGATGTTACTCAGTGCCCCAGAGAGGGGCACTGCCGGTGCTTCAGTGCCTGGCAGCAATCACAGGCAAGCGGAGGCTGGAGACACTTGTGAGGGAGATGTCTGGATAACAGGAAACATGAACAGGCAGTTGAATGAAACTGGATGACCCAGACTGCTGCTTTGGACAGATGTCTGCCCTGGACCATCAGAAGCAGCAAAGCCAGCCTGTGATAGAGGCCACAGAGTCGCTACCCTTCAGCAGTTGGTACGTGGCTGTGGAGGGCTTACAGGGCTGAAGGGCCGTGATCTCCCTGGGGACGCTGTGTGTAGTCCTGACCCCAAGATAATGCTGCGGTGCAGCAGCGCAACA